AATTCTAAATCACGCACAGAAAATATTTATTACAAATCCCTCCAAACTGAAATTCTTCTGAAATGTCAGCAATTACTGTATTTTACACAGTAGGAGCCCTCTAACTTGAAACTGGCTGGTTACATGAAAAGGCTTATGAAAGGAGGAAATCATAATGGTGAGTCATCTACACCATGAAGCTATTACAGGACCTTGAAACAGCACATCCGTTAATTAGCCTATCATCTCATTTGAGAGTAAGGGCTTAACACCCTCCTTGCTGCTCTTTGAGCTTAAATCCACTTGGAACTGTGTCTTCTTACACTAGGTTCACTTATGGAGTGCTGTCTATGATTTTCCATTTCTGTGTCTTTTTAAAAGATGACCAAACAATGCAGTAGAAGAAATAAAAGCAGAAACACTGTATAACCCTGGGTGCATACAAAAATTCCATAATAAAGCCCATTGTTTTGTCTGCCTACAAATTAAACAAATGAAAATTTAAAAAAAAAACCCACACACACAGGCAAAAATGAGTAGGAGAAAATGGAGTTGTAGTTTAAAGTCACTTGCAAGGGACTGAGTACTGATAATCTTTCATGTATTCACACCATTTATTTTTAGTAAAAGATAGTTGTTTGTAACTTTTTTGTTTGTTTATTTTTTTGAGACAGGGTGTCTCTCTGTTATAGCCCTGGCTTTCCTAGAATTCTCTTTGTAGACCAAGCTGGCCTTGAACTCACAGAGATCTCCTGGCCTCTGTCTCCCAAGTGCTAGGATCAATGGTGAGCTCTACCAATGCCAGGCTGTTGTTTGTAACGTTATTCAGAAAATTCCAGTGAGCCCATGGCAGCTCAGTATCCAAGTGGTTCCCTAGTAAGGGGAACAGGGACTGTCTATGACAGTCATGAACTCAGTGGCTGCTCTTTGAGCCCCCCCCCCCTCCGAGGGGGGAGCAGCCTTGCCAAGCCATAGAGGAGGACAATGCAGCCAGTCCTGCTGAGACCTGATAAGCTAGGGTCAGATGGAAGGGGAGGAGGACCTCCCCTATCAGTGGCCTTGGGGAGGGCAATGGAAGGAGATGAGGGAGGGAGGGTGGGATTGGGATGAAATGAGGGAGGGGGCTACAGGTGGGATACAAAGTGACTAAACTGTAATTAATATATAAAACAATTCTAGTGATCTGCCCTCATTTCCTTTTTGCAAAGCACTCAGGCTGTTTCATAGAACTTCACTTATCTTTGACCTCACATTTCACTAATTTGTGTTATGACTATTAAATTGTACTGTGATTAGCAACAAGCACTGCTAACAAGCACACAAGGACACATAGCTTTGGCTGGCTTTTCTCTGTCCCCTCCTGCATCCCCTGGAAGCAGACACAAGGCCAATGTCCAACATATAAAGAACATTCAAATATTTGTTAATTGGGCAAGTTAATGACACATAATTTCGTTGTCTTAGTTATAACAAGACAAAAGGGAGTAAAGGGTCCACAGTCATGTCCACCCTGCAGTATGTGGGGCACAAGTGCTCCCAGAAACCCATGAACATGGTCTAACACAAAATTATAAACCCACTTAAAACATTACAGCTTTTTGGGTACTTTTTGTAATGTAGTTTTACAGATTTCCAGCATGAACTTTGACAAAGTACTCTTGCAATGTCTAAAGGTTGGACACACCAGGATGATAAAGAGAAGTCTGTTAAGCTAGCACCTTCACAGACTAGGAGAATCAGTCTGAGTGTTTCTCGGAAAGAATAGGGCTTCTGGAATTACAGTGAGACCCTTACATGGTGGTTGCTGAAGAGTGAATCTACTCTACTTTGATTAAACATCTGGCTTGGCAAAACCTCTGCCTTTCTGTCTGCAGAAAACTGGGCATGCCTTCCAACTTTCCTCTAGGAATTAACTACCTTCCTACATGTTGACCTGTGGCTAATTTAACTCCCCATTGTCCAGAGAAGCCTTGTGAACATCTGAAGTTGTCTGTGGGGGCTCAGCTCCTGAGGGGTGATTGGTAACATGTTCTCTTTAGTGTTCCTTGGGACATTTGGAATCAATTAAATATTCAAATATAAGTTTTTCTTAGATCTCTAGCCAGGCCCAGCAGGTTCGTGTAGGGAAGGAGTTGGAGGCAGATAACTGCTATTCCTCACACCAGAATTTATAGCTAGAGATAGATTTAAAAATATACTCTTTAGACCTCCTGGGTCTTCAAGCAAATAATCATACAAGATTAAAAATGATATAGAAAAACAGAAGCAGCTTCATACAGTAGAAGGAGTTGTTACAGTATTACAACCGCTGCATGAAGATTGGCTGTATGTGAATGTACCCGCCTTGGAAGATGGCAATAGTTGGTGAAGTACAATAGATTCTTCTGGACTAGCTGAGGTTTTACAATTTTATAATATTGGAGAAAATAAAAAAGTCAGTAAGAATATGTAATATGAATTGGAAATGACTCACCAGATTTTAGATATGCACATCTACCTTTCTACATAAATGGGTTACTAATTCTTGGCTTAGATTCCTTTCCATCAAGTGTGCTCAGCTAACCACGACTGACTATCATTGATTCTTATTAGTACTAATGTCATAATTAGGCATATTTTTGAGAGAAAAGTGGATGCATGTCTGTTACCATTTTACTAAATGCTTGAATTCCTCTGTCACATTCATTCATTGACCAGTCACCAAAATAGTTCAGTGCTTGCTATGCATGCCTGCTAACATGGGTTTGATGGCCAGAATCAAGGGAAAGGTGGAAGGATAGAGCTGACTCCACAAACTTGTTCTACAACCTTCATATAGGTATGCTGTGTCTCAGGCATATGCACTTTCCCTCATACACAACAATAAAATTTAAAGCGGATAGTATTTATAACACAAGATTTAGGAAATATTTTATGAAGGTTAAGTAATTTCCCATGACTATTGGGAGAGTTAAGTTGGGAAGTGACTAATCAAATCCAATGTGGTGGAAATCAAATCCCTTTCCTAGTTAGATGGTAACTAGGAGCTCCACTAGATTAATGTGGATGATGTTGAAGCAGCAGGCCAGTGATTGTGTTGCTTGTAGGACAAAACTGCTTGAATGGGTGAGTTAAACAAACAAAATCAAGAATCAGGTTGGAAAAATGGGTTTCATCTCATTTATTTTATTAACTGGCTCAGACTTGCTCTACCAGTATTTTGCTGATCAAAGTAACAGAACTGTTTCCCTTATTCCTTTGCCAGGTGGAATAATCAGAAGTGAGTTACGGGAGAAAGAAAGAGCTGCAATAATCTTCAAGTTGTACCTACTCAGGCTGGTGCTGTTGGTCCTTGATTCCATCAGCCACAATAGTGGGAAAGACATCATCCAAATGGCAGCTCATTTTACCATAATAACTGGTGTTTGCAGATGAGTATTTTTCCCCACCACGATAAATTAATATATATCCTTTTTTACTGTGGTGCCACAAACAAGAACTCTGAAAGGCTCAAAAGGTCTAAATTCCCTGAAAAGCATCAGGTATCAAAACACAGCCAGAAAAAGATGGTATTAAATGAAAAAGGGAGCTCCTTTTTAATGAAGCCGAGGTGTAGGACAGATTTATTAGCTTCCACTTTTCCAAGTTGCATTCTCATGTATGTTCTGCCCATATTTCCAAGCTCAGCAGGTCTCTTTGTAGAATAACCTTCTAAAATTCATTTCAAAGAACATAATGTAGTTCTGCCCACTACACCTCAAAGACACACCTGTGATGAGACAACCATTTGTTGTATTAAGACAGTGCTCTAAAAGAAAACATTTTTGGGGTGATCTAAGATCGTGCCAATCTGGAAAAAAACCAGTACCAGGTACAGCATGTTCTTAAAAATAACAAGACTTAGCTCTGCACAAGTGGCCATTAAACTAAGTGGAGCAGCCTCTCATTATGTATTTTCATTGTTTTCTCTGATATTCTGAGGTGTCAAGACAAAAAAAAAAATTGAAGCTATTAAGCTGATACTTCTGATGCTACAACTTCTAATGTTACAACACAGATGCCTACAGTATGCCTATTGGGCTCAGTTATTTTTATGCCTAACACTGCTTCATTCTTTGTTGCCATTTATTCACTCCATGCCAGCTACTCTTATTCCTGAGGGAAAAAAATAAATCACTTCATTTCTTTGGACAATTCTTTTAAATTGTCTAACTGGACCTGGAGTGAATAGCCTACTGCTCTTTAAGCAAAGCTACCAAAACTGAAAAAACAAAGCAGACAAAACATGTTTCTGCCAACAGGTACACCTGATGGACACAAGACAGGTTGCTTGTATCCTTATAACAGTGTATTCCAGACTGAAGGAACATACAAAGAGATGATCCAAAGGCAAGGGTGTGAGTGGCTCTTCTACATTCAGGGCTGGGCAATGTGGATGGATAGTCTAAGAAGATAGTCATCAGACAATTACCTGTTTAAATATGATTATAAATCCGTTTTTAAATTATATTTTAGGTAGTCTACTATACATATCTAGTCCACTGTATTGGGCTGGGATAGAATTCATTCTATCCAACAACACTGAGTATGTGGATAGTCCATGGAGTATCTCCAGTGTGAATTAAAGAGCTTAAAGTTTAAGTAAGGATGATTTATCAACTACAACATTCTACAATGTCCCTTTGGGGAATTCTAGCCTTGTATCACTACAATATTTATATACTCAGCACTGACATTTGAGTTCTTTGAATAAAAGATTCTACAGCTAGAAAAGAAAAACAAAACCAAAAAAAAAAAAAAAACAAAAAAACAAAACAAGAACAACAACAAAAAAGAGGCTAAGAAAGCTTACTGTATGGTTAAATGTAAAACCATCACAGGTTTGGTAGTGCAATAGGATACCAGTTCATAGTTGGTGTTTTAGAAGTGTAACTTTTCAGAGCAAGATATGACAGGAAGAACCTGGTCCAGCAAGACCAAAGGCTAATGAGGACAATCTAAAGGAATGCATTCAGCTACTTCGAAAGAGATACACTGAAGAATCTGCATCATACATTTATTACAAGAGATTAATTTACGTGCATATACTAGGCATATTATTTCCACAAAACAAGCATTTGCCGTAAGAATTCTTAACATTTTTGCTTTGAAACTCAAGGATTTTTGAAAACCTCTTAAGATATCTTTTAAATTTCCAGGATCTTTACATTTATAATTTATGATTACCCAATTGTGTTTAATAAAACAGAACTTAGTTCTTCATTATGGTTATGATCTAAATTTAACACATCTTTGCTGAACTTTGTATTAGCCCCACATAACTCCACTGGCCTTCAAACATCATGTATACCTCTCAGCAGTATCTCTGAAAAACCAAGTGTTTTTAAGTAGCACATGCGCACATGCCCTTCTCTGCCAATGGTGTAATGGATAGTCTTTTAAGTAGCCCTCTTATGTTTACCCTATTTTAAAATGCCAACCATCACTTCACTGATATCCCACAGTTTCCTTGCTACTGACTCATTCCTTGCTTTGGGCAAGAGTTCTTCTTCCTTACAATCTCCAAAGTACCTTCCCGACACACCTTCTACATCAGGTGAAGAGGCTAAGTAGATGGAGGTCTGGGCACCTTCTAGCGGAGTTTTGAAAAACGCCCATGATACCAAATTAAAAAGTGGTCTGGCCAGCAGTGGAATGTGTATGTGTCTCCCAAGGTTTGTCCGCACAATACCAGGATGCAGCACATTGACAGTCACATTTGTTCCTTCTAAGCGACGGGCTAGTTCTCTGGTGAAAAGAATGTTAGCCAGTTTGCTTCGACTATAGCAGAAGCTTTTATTATAGCTTTGTTCACTGTTCAAATCGTCAAAGTTGATGTCTCCATATTTATAAAGTTTGGAAGAAACGACTACTATCCTGCTGGGAGCTGAACTTTTGAGGAGTCCAAGTAGAAGATTGGTGAGTAAAAAGTGGCCCAGATGGTTCACTCCAAACTGCATCTCAAACCCATCTTCAGTCTTCATATATGGACACTGGAAAATCCCTGCATTATTGATGAGGACGTCTAACCTGGGCTCCTCCTTTGAAAACAGAAAGAGAATGCAGAATTATGAACACAGAGTTTCCATAGCTCTTTTCATTCATGTAAGTCTCACTAACAAGAAAAAGAATGAGACTAAAACTAATCTCATGTTTTAGCCTGTGTATCTGGTATTTGAAACATTTGTCAATCCACACTTTTTACAAGCTAATGATTATGAATATGTATACTCTCACAGTTCACTCAGATGTTTATTATATGATAATTATCAAGGATTTTCTTTAAAAAAAAAACAAATATAGCAAATTTGGGGATGAGGGAATCCTATGATTCTGTCTTCCCTGAATTTCAGTTGAACTACAAAATACCAGTTTGGGTGTTAACATGCTAAATCTGTTATCATATCAAATTTATAGTAAGTCCCTATGATAAACTTAAAAACATTGCAAAATATAAAAATACATACTTTTAAAGAAATGTTGCATTATTAAACGGGCGTGCTTGGTCCCTTTCTCAAATAACCTTATCTACTTCCCATAATATTCTAAGATAAAGGTAGACCCAGGTGACATGGTCAGTGTTACCAACCTCCTAAGAGACATGTCAGAATTAGTCTAAACAGACTCCAAAGCCCATTCTTATAATTAATGACCTACCTGGCCTTATAATTGCAGTGTTTAAAACAGAGCTTGAGTCAGGGTGAGCAGGGAGACTATAACCAGCAGATGCCTGGTATTGTGACTCCCACCTTACTGTTATCACCAGCAATGGTAAATTAAGAAGCTTTAGTCTGTAATTCTATTAAGTGTAAAAGGGCACCACATGGACAGAATAACTGGGGCCAGTTCCCTAAAATTGGAACAAAGAGGTCAGAGATGCAAACTTTGGTCTAGAGAGAATACTGTGAAGAAATCTACAGAGAAAAGTTAATAAAATCATGGAGTGGGTGACAAAGATATTAGTGACAAGACAGTGACTATTACCTAAGTCTCACAATAGGACAGGAGATAAGAGAGCATCAACAAACACCATTAACCTTCACTGTGATTCCAGAAATGTCCTTTCTTCCCTGTAGGAAATATAAGCAACAAAGGGCTTCCAAATTATAATACCTACAAAGTCAGCTCAGTACTTTGATCATATGCCTCCACATCTTCCCAAAGTAAAGTCCTAAATTGTATTGTTCTTACAGAGAGCCTATTCATTCCTTACATTATTTAAGTTGGTTTTCCTTGGCTCCTTCCTGGCTCCTCTGTCTTTTCTGATGACAGAGGAAAAGAAATGAAGAATATGTTCCAGGTGTAAAGACATGGTGATGACCTATGATTAAATTAATTTCAGGTCAAATTTCAACTCTTATTGGTTTTTTTGCCAAGTGCAAGTGAAAGAAAAATGTATTAAAGTTCACAACTGTTATCAAAGTCTACCTGTCAGGTTAACTGTTTCTCATTCTGACCTGTCAAAAAACATTCATGTTTTCCAACAGGCAACTTCAAAAAGAGGGTGTGAGTTCACAGAAAGGAGTGTTCATCTTTACTAATCCTCTGGGAAGGTTTCCAAAATTAATCATTTCTGAGCTATCATTCTTTGCTGGGTTGTGTTAAGACTATCACTTACTATTTTTTAAATTCTAGAAGATAAATGGCATAAATTCCAAGAATACCAAACAGTAGAATGTCAAATGTCTATTTCTTTTCTCTTCTACTCACTGAACTTCAGAGCCAAGCAAAAGTGTAAATATTTAGGACAACACAATTTCATTACTTCTTGTGTTCTGACCTTTCTACTGGTTCTACCTTAAGACACCAAAGCAGCATTGGACTCAGGAATGAGCACACTCAACCCTATTTACACATCAGTGAGACAAGATAATCTGCTTCCATATTATCAAAATCTCCCAGGGAAAATATTGCTACTTGATCTACTATATCAAATGAAATGCTAACAACACAACAAAATACCTACTTCTTTGATCTATCCTAGCCCTTAATAAACAACATGATGACCCAGAACACAATAGGAACATGCTGTTGAATGGCTTAAACTTTGAACTAAACAATGCTACTCTCTACTTATCTCAAAAAACTACCAGCTCCAAGTGGTTCAATATGTTCTTTCTTCTGATGAGATAATTTTTCTGTAGCTGTGCTTCCAGCAGTTATTAACAGCTACTGTCTTGAAAGCAAGTGAAAAGCTAATATATATATTAGCTTTTATATATTATATATATATTTTATATATTATATATTTTTAGCTAATATATATATTATATATATCAAGAATGATAATGGCTGTCTCCAATCTGATCAGGAGGTTGGAACAATTACAACAGTGACCAACAGGTACACAGTTCCATTAATAATAATTCCTACATAAGGGTTAAATACTTCTTTTTGAATGATGTGTATTGTTGGACAACTATGGAATTGTGAGGACACACAAATTTAGGCTTCTTAGATCTAACTGCTAACAAATTAACCTCCTGATATTTCTTTTGGTCTAAGTACATAATTAAAAAAAAAGAAAGCCACTTAGAACTTCTGCTTTTGATTCAAGAAATTCCAACAGAAACAAGCACCCTCCCTGTGCCTGACGAGCAAATCACCTTGGCCATAGCCTTTCTACTTCAGTGGAACATTTACCATATAACCAAAGAAATCTCACACCTCAGCCTTCAAGCACTAGTAATACAAGCAGGAGATTAAAGCAAAGAATCCAAAGATAGACATGTTAGGTTGCTTGACCTTCTTGTGCCTCAGTTCCCTATTATGAAAGATATTAATGCTTGCTTTACAAGAGTTACAGCCAAGATCTGACAACAGGCAATAATATTTGTTCATTTAAAAATGTGCTTGTCACATCTCTTGGCATACATCAAACTTTCCATAAGGCTAGGCTTTATTTTTATTCCTGTCCCTTCTTCAGACCATTAATGGGATTCCAAGTTCCACTCTCTTTAGAAATCAGGATTCAGTCTGGTTAGGGATGATGCAAAGGTGTCTATCTGCAAGTGACACTCCCTCCTACTTCAGCAGGACAAAACAAAAACAAACAAAACCAGGAAATGGAAATGAGAAAAACAAAGAAAATTTTTTCAAAGGGTCTAACCCAAGTTCTTGGCTAGTTTTTCTCAGGCAGTGCTCTCAGGCCTTGTGACACCAAGTAAGATTTGGCACATATTTCACTTCTGACACAGGAAAAACAATTCAAAGATCAGGTGGTGATTCCTGAACTGTCCTCGCCTAACAAAATGAAATGTCCAGACACTGGCTTATTTATTCACTTCTTCTGAGGACCTCCCAGGAATTCTTTCTTAGACCTGCCCCTCCTCCTAGCAGGGTACCAGGCAGGCAGGTGTCTTTCCTACTTGGTCCTGACCAGTCTCAAGGTCACACCAGGCCTCGGGGGCCTCTCCCAGCGGGTGGCTGGGCTCAACTAGACCCACACCTGTAGGAGTTCTTGACAGAAGGCTCGCACTGAGCGCAGAGAGGCGAGGTCCAGCTCCTTGACGACCAGCTGGCCGTCGGTGGCGTCGGGTTCAGGACCCCCAGTCTGACTGAGCTCCTGGCGGAGCTGACAAGCCGCCTCCTCCGCTCGCGCGCGGTCCCGACATCCCATGATGACCCGCGCCCCAAGGCGCAGCAGCTCGGCGGCCGTGGCTCGGCCCAGGCCACTGTTTGCTCCCGTGATCAGCACTGTCTTCCCGTGCATGAAGCCCCGGTCCTCGTCTTTCTGCCGCCTCTGGCCTCTAGAACCAGAAAACCGCCGGGCCGCCAACCACAGCGCACCACCCAGTACGGCCAGTACCGCTGTGGCCACAGTAGCCACTGCCATAGCCTTCCGGGCCGGTGCAAGGGGCCTAAAGCACAAGTTCCGGAGTCGGGGGTGGGGGTGGGGGGAGGGTGCCCTGTGCGCAAAGGACTCTGAGGCTCCTCCTGCCGGCATGGCTAGTGCTCGCGGAGCTTCCTGGGACATGTAGTTTTCCCCCAAGAGGGTTCCTGGACAATTCATATTAGAAACTAACAGCGGAAACTCCCGGCGGATTTATTTAGAAATGGACGCTGTTAAAATTGGTATATGGCTAAAGACAAGGTGACATTTCTCATTTTGAATTGGTAAAAGGCTTGCCACACAGAAAAAACGAAGGACACATCCCTAGTTTTCAGCAGTGCTTTTTTGTTTAATTTTTTTTCTTCACAACTTATTCATTATATATCCCGATTGAAACCTCCTCCGTCAGCTACCCCAGTTCCACCCTCCCTTCCTCTTCCCCTCATCCCCTTCCCCTAGTCCACTGAGAGGATAAATTCTCCACTATTGTCATCTGTCTGTAGCTTGTTAAGTCTCATCAGGACTGCTTGGATCCTATTGTGGATATCTGTTCTAGGTGATGATGGATAGAAATTCGTTTAGCTTGCTAACACTAAAAAAAAAATGAACAAAGTTTTTTGAAATTAAGTTTCTTGTGAAACATCTTAAATATCCAAGTTCTAAACTTATCTAAAGAGCCACCATTACAACTTACACAGATAAGTGCAATGGGATTCAACATCCTTAAACTTAAGAGAAGTCGCTTGACCATAGCTTCACAGTTCAAAATGTTTTCAGAAAAACACCACAAAAAATAACAAAAAAGAAAAGAAAAAAGAAAAAAAAAAGCTAAGTTTTGTGGTTTTCGATCCTCGTAAATACCTAATTACTCTAGACATCCAAAACAAGTGCCATTTGTAGTACCAGACTGCCATTGTTTATTTTTTCCTCCCGATCATCCTTAGTCCTAGTTGCGTTTTTGAGCAACGCCATAAGGCACATGGGCCCCGCTGGTGCCAAATTTCTGTAGTGATTCGATGTGGAACATCTGGTCGTCAAAGAAGATGTGGGGCCGAATCTTCACCAAGATGGGACCTTTGGGGGCCCCAGCCAGGAAAAGAGCTTCATCTATCTCTAGACCCCAGCGGCGAAGGGTCTTGAGCACACGGGCGCCAGAACTAGCTGCACTCCGGGCTGTAACCAAGTAGGTCCTGATGGGACAGAGTAACCGTTCGTCTTTGGCATAGAATTTCTTCTGCAGTTTGCCTAAATCTTCCAGGAAGCCTTTAAGGGGACCCTGAAAAAGAAAACGTATGTCTCAGCTGTGCATGCATGAGCGAAAAGACGTGATTACTGAAAAAAAAAACAAAATCAAAAAAACAAAAACAGGGTCTTATATGACCTTATAAACCGCATGATGCTGACTGACATACAGTGATTCTGGGCTGCCAGGACCATGCCAAACCTTCTGCATTTATGTGAAGATATTTCCTGACACACAATCAACCCTTTGCATGCCTGGAATAAATCTAGGATAACCATATCATTTACCATCCAGAGAAAGATATTTTAAGTGTGAAAGAACATTCTATAAATAAGTAAGCCAGAACAATAGACATAAACTATCTCTGGTAACTGGGTGATTTGCACTTCAGTTGATCACCCAAACCACCATTTTTTTTTTCATATTAATTTTAGTTAGCTGCACGTTTTACCTTGAAAATTACTGTCCCTTTGTTTGGCCTGAGTCCAGGCCTGTCTTAAAGCTTATATATCTTTATAGTTTCTACATTAAGGCATAATATTTGCTTCTTTTCTTATCTTATTCTACTCTCTACCATTGTTTTATGTTTAAATCCATGAATAAATATATTTTATGCTCCTTTATGTCTTAATGTATGCAGCCATCGAAATGCTAGCCAACACTTGTCCCACAATACTAGTCTTCACAAGGAAATGTTTGTGGAAATAATGTTTGACAATTTAGTATATTATCAATATACTGCTCATTATCTCTTCTTTGCTTGAATGAGATTTTGCCTGAATATAGATGCTATGATTTATATTTTCTTTGCAAAAAGATGGAACTCAGATCAACGGGCTTGGTGGCAAGCTCCCTTATTGTCTAAGCCACTTCCCTGGCTCATTATAAAAACATGCTTATTTATAGTATGTATGTGTCTGTGTGTGTGTCCATGCACACACATGCGCACGCACATGCATAAAGGACATGCTTAAATACACATAAAGCACATGCTTAAATACAAAATCAAGATGAATAGAAAGACATGGGCTGGTTGAAGGTAAAAGTAAAGAAACATATACAGTACAGTACAGCATTATTATAAAAATCAGGAATATATGAATTATCAGATGGGTATTGTATGCAGATGAGGAGTTGACAAATATGAATATATATATAAAATCCTAAATACATGGGATTCAAAATACATCATACCAAACTGATTAAAACTGTCTGGTACAGTGGAAACACACTTGTAATCCCAGCAACTGAGAAACTGAGGCAGGATCACAGTGAGCTCAAGGAAAGCCTTGGTCACTATGCTGGCTAGTCTTACATTGACTGGACATGAGAATTATGTGAAAGGAGAAAACCTCTATTTAAGAAATGCCCTCCTAAGATCCAGCTATAATTGGTGATTGATGGGGCAGGGCCCAGCCCATTGTGAGTGGTGCCATTGCTGGACTGGTGGTCCTGGGTTCTACAGAACCCTCTATTGTCTCAGTATCAGCACTTGTCTCCACCATCTTTCCCTGTTTGAGTTCCTGTCCTGATTTCCTTTGGCAATGAACTGTGATATGGAAATGTAAGTGGAATAAATCCATTCTTCCCCTTGCTTTTCGGTCATCGAAGCAAATGAAAACCTAATTAAGACAAGTACAAATTGGTACCAATGTAGTTGGATATTGCCATGACAGACCTGAATATGTTTGGGGGAAGAATTGTGGAAGGAATTTGAATCTTTGGGTGACAAAAGCCATTGAGGGTTGTGAGCTCAATGAGCTGTTTTGTAGGAACTTGGAAGATAAGAAGATAAGAATGTTAAGAGGAGTGCAGAAGATGAAGCCCTGGCTTGTGAAGTCTCAGAAGGAAGTTTAAAGACTATTGGGACTGTTTGCTATTTTGTTTGAAGATGGCATGGTTCTGATTAGCTGGGGCTGAAGAATCAGCTGTGATTAACAAGATACCAGATTGCTAAAGTTAACACCTTTGCCTTGCTGAAATACTTGATGCTGGGGGACTGCAGCTGAGAATTTAGTGGTTATTAGAAAAGACTAGCATTGTTGAGGTGAAATCTTCTAGGAAATGTTTCCTGAGAGTCAACAACACACAGGCTGTTTCCCAGAGGTGGCCATGGTTGTACCTTGTGTTGGCAGCAGAACTTTTTAGTTTCAGAGTCCCCAAGGTGTTACTAGTTTTCAAGGCATAAAGGGGTCATGGAGAACAGCTGAGGCTTGGCAGTGGGCCAGGCCAGGAGAAGCCATTTGTGAAGATGCAGCCTCAGTGGCAGTTGAAGGCCCAAGACTGAAAGGGTCATTGCAGGGAAGCTGAAGCTTTGCATCATGAAGAGAACCTCTGAGAGGTTATTGATGAAAGTGCAACCTCGTTACAGTAGACGACCCCAATGTTTTGGTGACACCAGTACCATGGGATGATGACCAAGATCAGCATCAGCAGCAGAGTGGTGATTTGGACCCACCAGGAGCCCAGAAGACAAGCTGTGTGCTGTAGAGGGCAGAGCTGGAGAAGTTCCCCTTTGGAGGAGCACAGAAAATTGTGAGTATGTCCCAGACATTGGGCATTCATTTGTTTATACTGTTGGGAGTTTGATTTTGCTTTATTCAGATTGTGAATATAATTTTAGTTTTATTTTAGTGGGGCCCACAGCTGAGAAACTTAGAATTTTAAGAATTCAAATTTTAAAGGAACTGAAATTTTGATGTGTTTGAATTTGTAAAGACCATGGGACTTTTAAAGTTACTTATGATTTTAATGTGACGTTTGGAGATGAATTTTTTTTTAAAGGAAGGGTTGTGTTAATAGTGTTGTATTTCTGTGTCAAGTTGACAAGGGGTTAGTTGTTCTGGCTGGTCTTATGTCAACTCAACACAGCTCGAGTTATCTGAAAGGAGGGTACATTAATTGAGAAAATGCTCCAAAAGATCCAGGTGTAAGGCATTTTCTTAATCAGTTGTTGATATAGCAGAGCCCAGCCCACTGTGGGTAGTGGCATCCATGGGCTGGTGTTCCTGGTTCTATAAGAAAGTAGACTGAGCAAGCCAGGAAGCAACACCCTTCAATGGCCTCTGCATCAGCTCCTGCCTCCAGGATCCTGCCCTGTTTGAGTTTCTGTCCTGACTTCCTTCAGTGATGCATAGTGCTGTGGAAGCATAAGCCAAATAAACCCATACTTCCCCAAGTTGCTTTTTGTTAATGGCCTTTCATCATAGCAACAGAAACCCTAAGACAGTTAAATAGTTAGACCTTGTCTCAATCTATCAATAAATCCCGTTATATTTTTATACATCAGTACTGTCTGTTTTCTTGTGAATACAGCAAACAAAATAATTGACCATCTAAAACTGAACTAGAGTGGTTGTGTGGGTAGTAAAAGTGCTTTTTAGCTCAAAGACCCATGTTTGGATCTCTAGAAACCACATAAAAATGAAGATGTGGCAGTATATGGCTTTAATCCCAGCATTAGGGAAGCAGAGACAGGAGGATGCCTAGAGCTTACTGTCCAGCTAGTCTTGTTGTGAATTCAAGGTTCAGAGATTCTGTCTCAAAACACAAGAATGAGAATGATACGTGAAAACAACTGACATCCATCTCCTGCTTTTGCATGTGCACACACACACACACACACACACACAAAGTAAAAAACAAAATAGGTTTTCTGGTCACAATGAAGTAAAGCTTCATAGTACATAGTAACAGAGAACTACATGGGAAAAAATGATAATCTCGCCAAATGTTTGGCAGTTAATTTACCTTAACTGTAAATAATCCACCCAGCAAAGAGGAAGTCATAAAGAAATTCAAATATATTTTTAATTGATAAATAAACATCACTTAAAAAAGTCTAGGAGATAAAACTGTAGTCTACAAAGAACACTTAAACCTCAAAAAGCCTAATTCAGAAAAAAATGAAGAATAAGAGGAGAAGGAGGAAGAGGAGGAGGAGGAGAAAGAAGAAGAAGAAAAAGAAGAAGAAGAAGAAGAAGAAGAAGAAGAAGAAGAAGAAGAAGAAGAAGAAGAAGAAGAATTAGAAGAAGGTCACTGTAATCAGTGACCTTGGGCATCATGTTAAAAATGTTAGGAAAGATCCTTCATGGAAAAGATAAATAAAAAGTTTACATTCCCACTGCTGGTGGGAATGTAAACTTGTACAACCACTCTGGAAATCAATCTGGCACTTTCTCAGACAACTAGGAATAGCGCTTCCTCAAGATCCAGCCATACCACTCCTAGGCATATACCCAAAAGAGGCTCAAATACACAAAAAGGACATTTGCTCAACCATGTTTGTAGCAGCTTTATTTGTAATAGCCAGAAGCTGGAAACAACCCAGATGCCCCTCAACTGAAGAATGGATGCAGAAACTGTGGTACATCTATACAATGGAGTATTACTCAGCAATTAAAAATAAGGAAATCATGAAATTTGCAGGTAAATGGTGGGACCTGGAAAGGATCATCCTGAGTGAGTTGTCCCAGAAGCAAAAAGACATGCATGGTATATGCTCACTCATATAAACATACAACATAGAATAAACCCACTAAAATCTGTACATCTAAACAAACTAAGCAAAAGAGAGGACCCTAACTAAAATGTTCAATCCCCATCCTGAAAGGCAAAGAGGATGGACATCAGAAGAAAAAGAAAATAGGAAACAACCTCGGAACCTGCTACAAAGGGCCTCTGAAAGCCAGAAGAAAACAGGAAACAACCTTGAAACCTGCCACAGAGGGCCTCTGAAAGCTTCTGCAGTATAGACTGTCAAAGCAGATGCTGAGCCTGATGGCCAACTGATGGGCAGAGTGAATGGAATTTTATGTAAGAAGTGGGAAATAGTAAGAGCTGGAGGGGATGGGAACTCCACAAGGAGAGCAACAGAACAAGATAATTTGAACACAGGGAACTTCCCAGAGACTCACACTCCAACCAAGGACTATTCGTGGAGATAACCTAGAACTCCTGCACAGATGTAGCCCATGGCAGTTCAGTGTCCAAGTGGTTTACATAGTAATGGGAAGAGGGACTGCCTCTGACATAATCTGATTGGCCTGCTCTTTGATCACCTCCCCTTGAGGGAGGAGCAGCCTTACCAGGCCACGGTAGAGGACAATGCAGCCAATTTTGATGAGAACTGATAGACTAAGATCAGAAAGGAGAGGAGAACCTCCCCTATCAGTGGACTTGGGGAGTGGCATGCATGCAGAAAGGGGAGGGAGGGTGGGATCGGCAGGGGAGGAGGGAGGGGCTTATGGGGGGGATACAAAATGAATAAAGTGTAATTAATAAAAAATTTAAAAAAATCAAAAGCTCAAGGCCACCTTCCGTTACACAAGGACAGCCTGGGACACATAGACCCTGTATCAAAAAGATGAGGCATGGTGGGTGGGGGAGGTGAGGCAGGCAGAATCAGCCAGCCCTGGGTACAGCAAGAGTTCCTGTCTTAAATAACAAGATGGACAACATCTGAATGACACCTGGAGTTAACACCTGGCCTCTGCACACCCAGGCACACACACGTGCAGGCACTTGAACAAACATGCACCTACATGCAAATGTGCATATACAAACACACACATACATAAATACTTCTAAGAAGACAAAAATATCCAAAAACTGAAATTGACTTTATACTGTATGTGCTGTGCAAGCTCTTTGGACAATAGTTCCAATTTCTTCACAATTAGACAGGGTCCTACAGAAGGGTCTACCATGCCAACTTCAAGTATTTACCCAGAGAAATGAAGTATTTACTGTTCATATATGAATGTTCATGCACTACACATGTGTGTGTTCTCTGTTGTTTTTATGTGAGTACAGATGGGTGCATGTATGGTTTAGATGTGGAGGTCAAAGGTCAGAGGAGAGTTTGGAGTAGCTGGTTCTCTCTTTCTGCCCTGGGTTCTGAGGATCAAACTCAGATTGCCTGGCTTGCCTGGGAAGCAGTTAGACCTGCTGAGCCATCTCCCTGGCCTGCTTCAACCCTGTTTTTTGAGAGATCCTCCCACCTAAGCTGGAGATCATTGTCTTCACTAGGCTGGCCAGCCCGAGCTCCCCCAGTCCATCATCTCCACTTCCTCAACACTGAGGCTGAAGGTATGTACAGCCTGGCTCTCATGTGCGTACTAGGGATCTTTTGTAATAGAAGTTATTTTATTTTTTTTTAACACAACAAAATATAAGATAGAACAAAAAACCATCACATCAGAGTTGAGCAAGGCACACCAGCAGAAGGAAAAGAGCCCCAGGAGAAGTCACAAGAATCAGAGAGCTGCTTGTGCATACTTTTAGGAGTCCCATAAATCACTGAACTGAAAGCTCTAACACACATGCAGAGGACCCGGGGCAGACCTGCACAGGCCCTGAGTGCACATGAGCATTGCTCGGTTGGTTTAGAGAGCCTTGTCTCTCCTCTGGCTCTTTCAGTCTCTCTGCGTCCCATCCTCGAGTTTCCCTGAGCTGGAGGGGAGGTATTTAATAGAAACATCCCGTTTAGAGGTTTGTGTTTCCGGATGTCTGGCTTTGGGTCTCTATATTTGTCCCCATCTGCTGCTGCACAGGATGCTTCTCTGTGCTAGGAATCTTAACTCGGTTCCCTGTGCTTACACAGGAAGCACTTTACCCACCGACATATTTCCCCGGCACCATTTTAATAGCCCAAACCTGTAAGCAATCCAATATCCTTTGGCACATGCATGGATGAACAGTTGTGGTATGTTTATACAATGAAACGCTCCTCAACAAGAGCAGTAGACAAAATAACAAGTGCTAAATCTGAGTGACTTTCAAATGATTCCTGCAAAGCCCAACCAAACATGAGGGCCTGGGAAATGCTAACATTTGTATAGAATCCTAGTAAACAAATCTAGTGACAAAGAAAATCTTTGTGCTTGCCTGAGCATTGTGTGGGGAGAGAAAAAAAAATTGGTAAATCACTGCCCATATACTGATCTAAATAAATAGATAGATAGATAGATAGATAGATAGATAGATAGATAGATAGATAGATGACAAGGCAAAAATGACAGTAATTTCTAATATTAAACATGAAATTGGAGACACATTCTACAAACACTAAAAACACAATGAACTATTTACAAGCTTATGGTTGTAAAAATGACAAAGGAAATTGATATTTTTCTTTTGAGGGACACAAACTAATAAGCACAAGAAAGGAATCAATTTAAGAAAAATATTAAGTGACTAGATGGGTTCAAAGCCTTTTGAGGACTGGCAGGATAGTTCAAGAGAAAAAAACACTTGGCTTTATGAGTATGAAGACATGAGTTACATTCCTGGAACTTACATAAAGCTAGAATGAGAGAACGGACTCCACAAAGTTGTCCGTTATCCTCTGTATGCATAACATGGCACACATATTCCAACCCCCCCACATATTTAAAATATGATATGTAAATAATATACATACTATAATAAAATAAAATACACATTTGAAAGCTTTTAAAAATGGTGTCCATGCCTAGGTAGCTTGTCTAGAAAAGCTCATCAAGTATTTGCAATGTTTTCATGCATTTTATGAAAGCATTATTACTCTACTGCTTAACTGAGATCTCACAAGTGAATTATAGACTACTTGCCTCATATGTATATGAAGGCAGACAATTCTACAGACTAGATCAGAGAATATATAGAAATAATCACACTCTATGACCATTTCTAGTGTACCTGCACTTGTTGAGGACTGTTTCAACAAGCGAAGATCCTGCAGTGAATTTCCCTAATGGACCTCCCAAACCAATGACTTTCTCAATGAATGGTACAAAGGTATTAATCAAAACCAACATCCATTCTACAAATCTTCAAAAATGCATAGTGGGTGGTAGCAGCTCCAACTTAACAAAGGATATCTGAAAAGATTCTGTGGATACTCTAAGACTTGAAGACTAAATGTCATTTGAAGGACAGGAGGAAGCAAGGCCAGCAGGTCCGTGATCTTTTAGGTTGCTAAACATTATATGGAGCAGATTAAGAATAAAACTGTATCATTCATCATTTCAAGTTCAGTCTGGATACCATTCCTATGTTTCAAGCTTCCTTCTGTTCAGATCTCCCTTCTAGATCTTAATTGTTAAAACTTCACGAAATGGATTTTAAAAATAAAATAAAACCAAAAACCCAAACCAAAGAAGCAAAATCTCCAAATACTTGTTTTTATATCATAAGGGATGTTGGAGGCTAATTATTTATTTGGATGCAGGCTCTGAATTTCGAAGCTCTTCTAAAAAAAAAAAAAAGAAACAGTACGACAACAACAACAAAACCTGTCTTGAATTTGAGGTTGCAGACTGGCAGACCAAGAAAAAGTTAACAGAGCAGTATATTGGACATGACCGTACTGTTCGTGAGGGCTTATGATTTTGAAAAGGCTTCTTCTAGGCTGTGCTGTGTGTCACTAATAACTAGAAGAGGGTTAACTCATCAGTAACAAAAGACCAGAAGTGTTTCCAAAAGGATAAATTAAATAGTGTTAAATTTCAAAACCAGAGTTGTCAGCACTACATATCCCAAAGGAAGGATTTGCAAGATAGAGCAAAGTGCAAAGAGAGTGGAGGAGGCTGCATAAAATCAGTTAAAAGTCATCAAAATGAACAATATCTAATATTCAAAAGAAAAAGCAAATGAAAATTGAGCTTGGTGAACTTACCTGAGCAAGAGGCTTATTTTCAAAGAGTGTATCATGTTGGAAGTACTTGTCCAGCCCATGTTCTTTGGCAATATGTTCAGCCTCGTCGGAGAAGAGGACAGCATCCCCATCAAAGGCCACGCGGAGCTGTGTGTCACAGTAAGCGATGTCCTTGGTTCCAGTAAACATGGTTGCAGAGGCAATGCCTGACATCATAGGGATAGATTAGTACTATTCTTAAGCCCATAGATTTTAGTTTCTCACAGTAAAAGCTTCTACCCAACAGTGATGTTTCTTCTGTAGCTATTTGACACCTAATTCTGCTCTTATCTACGACTACATATCTCAGAACGAATATGTACTCATAGACTCTGTTTTATACAGCAATGAGAGGTGAAAATGAGTTGTGTTATAATCACTGAGAGTGTTCCCTTCCAGGAACGTGAAGTACTTGTAGAACAAACATAAGGGGTGCCACATGTGTAAAAGCCGTAACAGAAGACTCAATAAGTTCTAAGCCACCTAAGCTGACAATCTCTATAAACCTCATGAACTAGGAGAATAAACCCAGGTCATTACCTTCTTTTATTGCTTCTTGGACTTTATCAGAATCCGCAGAAAGATACAAGTTGGTAAGATAGGCCTTCAAATAGCCAATGGGGCTTTTTCCGCCCGTCAAACAGAAGCGGTCGATTAAAAGACCTATTGTCAGGTGAGAAAGGCAGGGTTATGGTTCATAAAGATACAACATTTATACAAATGACATTTACTGTAGCAATAAATGTATTAGTAAATCCATGTGAGTTCATTTGTAAGTCTAACTGATGTTATGAATTACTGACTTTACAACACCAAAATTATAAGAACCTCTCAGATAATTCATACTCTATGTTTGGTACACTATAGTTTATGGAGCATATTCACATGCACAATGTCAGTGTACTCAAAACAGCATGGTGGATATTATCCTCCTTATAGAAAAGGATGCTAAAAAGACTTGCCCAGCCCACTAGTTCATAGACAAAGGGCAGTCTTCCACCCACATGTGTAACTCACTAGGACAGTTCTCTCTTTTCCTCCTTGCTTATTGAAAGGAGCCTTTATGGTATGGCCCCATCTTAAATGCTGTTTCTACATTTCTTCACTGAAATACATGTAGTAAGTAACTCCAGAATTTAAACTATTTTCTAAAGATAATGTGAAATTTTCACTCCTTTTTGACTAGAATATTTGATTACAGCTATTAACAATTAGAATATTAATAGATATCTTTACCAATGAACTACCACATCCACTTAACTTTTTAAAGTTATTAAGTAAGGTATATCTAAGTTGCCCATACTTCCTTTCAACGTGCTATATTGCTGAGTAGCACAAGTAAGTCTTGAACACAAGCCTCTTGCCACAGTCTCCCAGAAAATTAGCATTATAAGCTTATGCCAGCGATATCTAATTAATATACTTTTAAATACCTCCCAAGAAGAAAAAAAATCAAGTGTTCAAAAAAATTCTGTAAAGAAAGCACCCACATATACAGAGAATGAAAGAATGAATTGGTACAAGTTGTCTAGAAAGATTTAATGAGCATAGATATATAACTCAATGGTCAGTCACTTGACCAGAACACATGAGGCCTAAGGTTCAATACTCTAATGCAAAACAAAACAAAACAAAACAAAACAAAACAAAAAACTGAGTTAATGGTATCTCTTAAGAGGTTTTAGAGGTTTATACCTTTTAACATGGAATTCCTTTTCTGAAGGTATTATTTTAAGGAAATAATACAAAATTTTAGTTAAGATTTATGTAGAAGAATCTGAGCTCAGGATTATATTTGAAAAAATGTATTCATCGATATGAGACTATCATGCATATGATAAAAGTCTATGTGCTTAAAGTCATCTTTAAATTTACTATAAACTAGTTAACTATGCTAGGTAAAGCAAAATGTGGAGTCTGCTCAGCTGTTTGAAGAAACAAGGACATCTATCAAAAATATGGTAGGAGTATCTGCTTTGGTGTCAACAAAATATTATCAAATTTTACTTGACCCAATGTTGGGCATAATCAACTCAAAAATGGATCATATAAAACCCCTACATAACATGAATGGAATGTTCTAGAAAATATGTATTGACATTAGGAATTCAAAACTGAATGAAAACAGTGTACTTTTTTCTTAAAGTGATCCCAGTTTACAGTGGAGCCAGGTGTGAGACTTGTAACAAAGACCACAGCAGAGATAGACAAAGATTGTCTTCTGTACTCTAAAGAGGGCCATAACTAAGTCTGCCAAAACAAAAGGTTATAAAACCAATTGGAAAGGTATCCCAATTGGTTCATCAGCAGAATTCATATTTTAGTAATTATGATTCCTGAAGCTGGAAACCTCAGTGTGTTTAACATGCTTAAGACCAGATACACCAGGCTTATTTCAATAAGACTCGCTTATGGTGTGTAGCTATAATCCAAACTGGAAAACTAAGGCAAGAGGGTCGAGAGTTAACCTGGGCTATACAGCAAAAGCCTATATCAAAACAAACAAAATTATTAAAATAAACTTCATTTATTGAATATTATATGCCCCTCATAGCCTTTGACATTCATTCTCTCTCTTCAATTCATACCATTATGAAGGTTCCATTATTAAAATACATTTCATATTTTATAAATAGGATCATGTGAAATAATAAAATAAGACTCGATATCTTGTAATACACCTTTGTTATTTATAAATATACCTAATTTAAACCTAGAATCTCTATGTGCACCAGTTAAACCTGACTCTAGTAAGGGATCACAATTAGATCCCCTACTAGAAAGCAAGACAATGGCATTCCAAATAGAATGTTAGGTCATTTAATAGTAGAAAAAAAAAATAAAAAAAGGAAACTTTACAAGAAAGTGACACATTGATGGAAATAAAGGCCAGTGCCAATGCAATTTTCTAGGTAAAATAATAAAAGACAAATTTACTGGTAAGAATATGGATTTGTATGTGGGCAAGAGAGCAGCCAGGAGAGTTCCAGCTTAAGAGCTGGAAGGGGAGATGAAAAATCTTTAAACCCATAACATGGATCTGTGGTGAGGAAAAAGTTTGATCCCATAGAAAAAGCCTCCAGGCTGAAGGCTCCTTGAAGTCAAGTTCAGAAGTGAAAAACATAAAGCAGAGAAATATATTGAGGACCTGGGATTAAGACTTTGAAATTCACACTTGACAAGTTAAATCCAGAGCTTTGAGCCCAACTCTGTGCTGAAGTTAAAAATGAACATGGCCTTTCTTGTTCTGACATAGGCAAATAAACATTCCCCACACAGAAGGGGGTGTTGGTATCAAAGACGCTGCAATGGTTTAAGCCACAGTTAGCAAAATAGCATGGCTTCTTTTTTTTTTTGCAGAGCTGTGAGCTGGTCCTCCACATAGTATTTATTTTACTTACCATAGTGATTGACGCTGTTTATAAGCCGTACTCCCACTTGGGCATGGTTATTAGTCATGAGTACTATATCGAATAAGTCCTGTTCATCAGGGTACAGATCACGGAGTCTAGTGTTGACATGCTGCAGTGCCTGCAGGTTACAAACACAGGTGAGGTGGGCTAAGTTAGGCAGCAAGAGGAAAAACACCTCATCAGGGTCAGAATAAAACTACACACAGTACTGGCTGAGAAATCAGTACTCCTTTAAGACATGGTTATACCACTGTTCCCGTATTTTCTGATTCCCACATATAGGCCTCAGTTAATGCCCATGGCATGGATAAGCAGTGTCTATGGGATGCTATCACAACATTCTGTTTTCTAGAATTATCTCAGAGGTAGGTATGGAAAAAGATCAGGGTATCCACTTTGTGATTTGCCTTCTCACTTGCCTATTTAAGTTTGTATATTCTGATCTTATTGCAAGAAATTTGGAATGATTTGGGAATTTACATGTCACTCCTGCTGGCAGGAGACTGAGGCAGATTGATAATTTAAATTTTTTTATTCCTGTTTTTGTATGTTCTACTTGAGATTGTTGGCTGTGACTCATTTATTTTAATTTTAACATTAATTTATTTTAAAATTGTGTGTGTGTTGGGATTATATGTCAGAATGCAGGTAGTCAAACTTCCTAATGCTGAGACTCTTTAATACAGTTCCTCATGTTGTGGTAAACCCCAAACATAAAATTATTTTCTTTGCTGTTTCATAACTGTAATTTTGCTAGTATTATGATTCTTAATGTAAATACTTTGGAGCTAGTGTTTCACCAGGGGTTTGTGAACCACAGGTTGAGAACCAGTTCTCTAGAAAGTGTCAGATTCCCTGGAACTGGAGATGGTTGTGAGCTGCCCTATGTGAGTATTGGAAACCAAAGTCCTGGGTTCAAGAACAATGTCAGCTTTTAATACCACACCCTTCTTTCCAGCCCCTTAATCTATTTTTTAAAACATTTGTTAAAACATATGTTTTTCACAGGCTTGTGGTTTCTCTCCATGGTTCTACTTGTCCTGCAAGCACCTTTTACCCCAAACCCATAGAGCTGTCATTTGCTTTCCCATCGTTATATGATTGATCATGTAATAATCCTATAACTTATGTGAAAGATTAATTATTAGCACTACAAATTTTAGTACACATTCCTGATGCTAAGTGTCAGGAGCATCTTGATTTTCTTGATATATTTAGGGTCAGACCAGCTAAAGTGGATTCCATCATTTTAATAAGGCATTTTCTTTCCACTAATCAGGACCACTGGCTCCTTATTACTTCCTACCTAACTCATTTTTTATGGTGGAAACAGGCTTTTGTTAAAGGTTGTTGGATGACTAAAGCTCCATTTAAGAAAATAAAGATCTAAAACAGTAGATTCAGGCTAAAGAAATCGCTTTCTCGATAATTCTAGATGTCTTTGGGACTTTGTCAACAAGAATGAGGCGAGAATGATAAAGATGGTATTCATGATTGTTGGGGTGAATAGACAAACTCTCAGGTCCTACTGGGGCCATCTCTTGCCATTCAGAGTCCCTAATGGGAATGAAAGGCAGTTCACACAGTACCTTGACAAACCGAAATGCTGGCCCTGGGGTCAGGATGACGTTCTCATTGGTGATCTGATACTCCATGTACTTTTCCAGACCCTCTTCTTCATAGATTTTCCTGTCATCCACCATATTGAAAAGTGCCCGGGAAGAAACAGCAATGGTGATGGCATGCTTGGGTTTAGGCTGTGGAGAAGGTCAAGGAAAGGAGAGTCAACACATATAGAAAGTGGTAGGGATGCAGCTGGTAAGGGAAAGAGGACTAAGGTGAGAAAGACTAGGAAGGACTTCTCAAGGCAATAAGTGGGAGGGAGTTGAGGGACAGGAAGAAGGGAACCTGGGGTGCCAGAGGTCTTGGCACTCTCACCGGCCTGGGCCGCGCACAGTTAGGCATCTTCTCATACAGCATGCTCACGGATGACCAGTACGCCTCATCCACCTCATCTTCCTCCAACTGCTGCTTATGCCGCTGCTGGGCTTCATTCAGACATTCCGGGTCCACGTCCATAGAGGTGGCATATTGCATACGGCGTTGGGCGTAGGACTTCCACTCAGTAGGAGGAGTTCGTGGATACTCTCGAGTACTCTTAGGCATCAGCTCTCGGGAGTCACAGCTGTGAGCATAGTCTCTAGGCTCTCTGCTCTCCCTGTGAGCCCAGTTATCAGTGTTCGCATACATTTTCGAAGTCCGCCTGTTGTTGTGCTCTGCTTCTGGAGGTGTGGGAGGTTGTGATTCAACTGTGGTGACAGGTCTGGTCTGTGGAGTCTGCTGTGTGGAGGGCTTCTCTGTTGCCTGAGGTGGAGGCGATGTCTCGTGGTGGCTGGGGGAGGCAGAGGAAGTTCTAGAGGTCGCGGCACTGTTGGGGGCCTGCTAATGAAATAGGGGTTAAAGTCCAGGACCATAGGGATTCACATCCCTATTTCCCACATTACATCTCCTAGCCCTAGCTGATTCCTCGATCTTAAATCCTAGTTCATTCTAGCTCCTTTAAGTAGACCGTAAAGCAGCCAAGCATTTCTAGTCTTCAGACATTGGATATTACTGTTAAATAGACTGCTCTGTTCTCATCCTCTACCTCTCTGCCTGCACCTCAAGCATGCATATCACAGGTGCTCATTGTAGCACATGCTGTTTGGTTTTGAGTATATAGGATCAAGTTCTTTTATCCTTAAGCAGCACAAATCATTTAGACCTCGCCTCACTCAGTGACTCTAGGCAGCTTCATGCACAAACTACAGGAGACACTGTTAAGATACTGTCAATAGAATGCTCCACTTATCCCGATCCTCTATGGATCTCTTAGCCCTGGGACAACTAAGCATGTGATTGCTGGGAAAGCTGGGGAGTCACATGTCTTCAGTCTTGGTATGCTATCAGATAACAGCAGAGGTGATTATCTTCCTAAGTATGAAGGGGCAACTCTAGAAGAAGAATAACTTTACTGATACAGCACTGCAAAATGTTAAACAATCGCATATTACCTCAATTTATGTTTGTTTCACATGTATGGGAAGAAATATTCTTGGTGAGATTACTGTACTAAGCCCGACAGAATAGGTGTATTGGTGTATATGCCCAGGGATTGAGTCTTTTCTATCCCTCCAAAAAGAATCTCATAAATTTGCTTAGGTGGAGAGGCCTTGGTTAAGAGTCTAAAAGCACATATGATGATATTTAATGTTTCTCTTTTGCTGATTGAATTTTTTAATCCCTTTTCTGAGAGCCATGGGTACTCAGTTGTGTTTCTTATATGGACAGAAACATAGGACAGAAAACAGAGCTAGACCTTAAGGCTGTGTTTAAAACTCAATGGTCAATTTGGTTTACCTGGGTGTTTCTAAATTAGCTACAATCAAGTAATTTATCCCAACCAGGCCCTGATCACTTTGAAAGATAAGTCCCATTAGATAGAAGTCATCATCACCCACTCTTCTTTTATCGTTCCTTTTCATAATCAATACCTTAACAACTGTACTCTTGCTTCTGGGCTCTTCTACAGATGGAGCTCCGGTGGATGGGCTCCGTGATGTTCGGGACCACTGATTTCGCACCACGTACCCTCGGGAGTCTGTATTAGGCACAGGTAATTCTTGAGATCCCTGAGTAAGAGAAGAGACCCAGCTATTTAATTCTTAACCATTACCCCTTATATGTATGTTCCCATAAGATGACCATGTCAGGCTAAAAACAGCAGAAACCAATGGAAAGATGCCTCCCCCACACCCTCCATTTCTATGAGCCCTGATTCATTCTAGGTCTTGGCTGTACTGTTTCTTGCTTTGGCCCAATCTTAACCTCATTATGAAGTAACAAAGTGGAGGTCCACCGAGAAGAGCATTGAGCATTCAATCTTAACAAAGCCTTGGAGGGGCTCAGAGTTTTTCACCTGTGACTCTTCTGCTATTGTGTGTAATAGAGTTAGTCATATTTTCTCCTTTTTCCCCACATCCTCCCTTAAAGATAAGCCTAGTGATAGAGGCTAAAATGACATATCTATGATTTTACCATACTGTAAAGTGAGGGCAGCTGACACCCAAGCCACGGCTCTATGACAGATACACCCAAGTGCATATAACCTTCCAGCCTGTTTCATGATGACACCTTGGAGAGGTATGTGGACTAGTTTCTGTCCCATATCCTTCCCCTACCCAGGATGCCTGGGGCTCCCCTCCCAAATTAGTCATTCAATCTCTGCTCACCCTGATCATGGTGATCTGCCGGCCCTGCTCCCACAACAGGCACATGTGAATATAAATGCGTATTGTGCGACAGGGGCTAGTTCCCTCAGCTGCACAAAGGCAGCGTCTACAGATGTGGTGAAACCGCATGGGGCAACATCTCAGCGGGTGATTCGGATAGGCTGCACGCCTCATCTGAAAGATTGTGCAGAAAATGGGTCAATGTGATGGCCAGACTTCCCTTCCCTCCCTGATCTGAATCGACCAGTCTCCTCCTGTTGGCCTAGTGGTGGAGACTGTATTTCTGTACTTCACATTCTGCATGAACAGGGAGGCTGTGGACTGAAGGGAGGGCAAGGGCCAGCTTCTCCTGAGTATATCCCTAACCTCTTCACTAGGACCTTAGTTAGCCCTTGGTGCAGATCTATATGGCTCACGTGTCTCTTCCGAAGCTTCCCCGTTGCTTTTGTTCATTGTGTTTTCTGCTCTTTCTTTCAGCTGTGCTATGCAAGGTAGCTCACCTGAGTGCTCAGACGACCTCCATTTTTGTCAGGATCTTTTCTTTTCTCTGCATCTAGACTCTCTTTTGAGTACCTCATCCCAGGCTCATTCTTAATATGGAAACAAAGAATGTTTATTAATTTTGATTCTCAGAGACATTAGAAACCTTGGGTTTGGATATAAAACAGAATAAATAAAACCTAAATTTTGTCTTTTGGCTGACATCATAAATATATGTAAACTTTAGACATGATTTCTGTTCCATTCTAACAAGTATAAGAAAAGAATGTAGTTTATAAATGAAAAATTACATAAGCCTGTTGTTATATGGTTCATTTTATCGGCTCAGGATATGAACAGTGTTTATCATTAAAAATAACATGAGAAACGTAATGAGTATCTTTCAGGGGTCAGCAACACTTGGATTTAAGTATGAAGTTGCTTATGAAGAAAAACTTTTCCTTAACCTCTTTTTCTGAGGACTGATGATTATGAAACTTCATTTTCCATATAAAACAGAAACTCATTTAACTGACCCTAGCCAAAATTAATTTGAATTTTACAAACAAGGACTTTAATCTTATATAGATTTATTGGTAAAACATCTATTATTAATGTCAAATTTCTTTAGCATCTATCTGAAAAAAAGGGATTTTCTACTAAGAAACTAATAGGTAAAAATCAAGAGCAGATACGATGGCCACTTCTTTCATGGAAACCTAATAAAATAATGTTTTCTTTTTTGATTGGAAAATGCTTTTCAGGGGACAATTTGTTTCATGCTAATTCAGATGTATACTGTGACTAATACTAGTGGTAAGCCCCAGTTTATGGAACATCGTAATAATTTAGACCAAAGTCCTCTCAGAAAATTTCTGTATTCTCCTATCTATTCCCTGTATCTGCCCAGGAGTCATTTTACCCATGTTAGCTGAATGAGAATGTGATTTCAAGCAGTGGCTTAGCTGCATAATTATTGAAGTGACTTGACTTCTTTCCACTAACTCCCATACCCCATTTCAGCTTTCATAATATTCTATCACTTCTAGATCGAAAAGATAGTTAATTCCACCCATACTTCAGCTCTGTGTTAGGTCTCAGGTCACTGTTCTTGCCTTTTAAAGCCTTCACATTTCCAGATTTCTCTCTCTTATGGAATGTAAGCATAGTTAAGCTTCATTCCTGGGTCAACTCTATATTCACCCCGTCATATCAGGAGCCTCAGGATGGATCCCTGCTACCTTCTACTCCCATGCTCACCACCCTTCCTGTTATGTTCCATTTAAGATAAGTAGCTTTTCCCTGGTCACTTCTCTATAAACCAGTTTCTCTTCATTAATCCCTAAAACTCAGCTCAACCCAATCTTGGTGCAGTACCGGAGGGGAACATTACTCTGTCTTTGTACAAAGCTCTCTGAGCACTGAATTTTACGGTTTATGTCTCTGTTCTGCAGAATTATTGTATATACTTCATATTAACTATGACCATATGCTCAACAAAGGCTGAGTTACTAGGTTGACCTACACTCTCCCACTCTACCTCTTTCTTCTGTTTCCTCCACTCCCTTTTAAGTGTTGCTATGGTCTGGATTTATTTATTTTTGCAGAGCATTCCCAGAAAGAAAAGGTGGACTAATGTTTTTGTGTCCTCAGCTTCTTGATAAGATTCTAGGGTATTTCAGTCACTCACTTTCTTTTTCTGTTTCAAAGATGTTTGGCTCATTTTGTCAACTGTTGGGATTCTTTTGTTGTTAAGAAAGTCCTCATCTCCCCAGCTCCATTTCCTATCACTTCTCTGGTTTCGTCTAGCTCTGAATTTGGAATGTCAAATTTATGACATCATGTGAGATTCCATGGTAACTAACTGATGCCACACATACATAATTATGCTTTTTTGTTGTGAATAGAGCAATGGCCTTTTCTATTTCAGCGTATTTACTTATATTCATTCTTCTGAAACTCTAGGAATTGATGTGTAAACTGCTTGAATGTCTACTGTGCCACAATATCATTTTTACAACTTAATTATTTGTAAGTCTTTTAAAGCCTCACTTGGTCACTCATCATATCAATCCTACTTGGTTCTGTCCATCTTCTCTCATTTGTGAGTTCAGTCTTTTTTTTTCAGTTTTTTTTTTTTTTTGGAGACTCCTTGATAGCTGATTATAATTGGGGATTTTGGTTCTGAGCTTTGCTTTTAGCATGTGGCATTTCTTTCACAGTGGCAAAGACTCTGAGAAAGTCATCGTCAAAGCCCCTCCATATGGTTGGACACAGTAGGACGTTTCCTGTACTTACTGTGTCTGTCATTCCTTGCCCAATCCTTCATGTTTGAAATAAACATTTTTCCTATTGTGTGAACAGAGAACATTGAATCAAAGAGAGTTCCAGTCTCTGATTTACTGAGTCAAATGATATTCTGGTTTTATTTTTGTTGTTGTTGTTCTGATTTTAATCTTCATCCAAACATAGGTAAGATACATATGTCCTGCCAATCTGAGTTGTTGAAACTGTAAGACAGAGACAGATTTCTGACACTCATAGAAGCCACTGTTTGTCCAGTGTGAATAGTAGAAGTTTTCTAAATAATTTTTCAGTGAACATGTAAATCAGGCCGTAGTTTTGAATTCCTTTATACCACCACTCTCTAACACCATATTTTTCTAAAATTTTGTTTGATTAATTTTAATAATCTTATTTATTTTTCTCCATTTCAAAATGGAGAAAATAATTAGTTAATAATTGGATAAGTGTTAAAAATTTATTGTGGAAGCTGGCGAGAGGAATTAGTGAGTGAGTGAGTAAAGTGTGTACTGGATAAGCATGAAAACCCGAGTGAGTGAGGATCCTCAGCAGTACTATAAAAAGCTGGATGTGGTGGGAGCACCTTTAACTTCAACACTGAGCAAGGCAAAGAGAGGTGGTAATTAGGGCTTTGTTAGCCTATCTTGCTGAAATGCAACAGGTTTATTGAGAGACAGTGTCTCAAAATATAAGATAAAGAAACAATTGAAAAGAATATCCCAGTGATGACCTTGAACCTCCACTTTTACCTGTGTCAGTAAAAAAAACAAGGCACCACCATGCTCACATGCACACATACACGAGCACACACACACACACACACACACACACACACACACACACACACACATTGTTGAAATATAAATATGAAAAGAATTTATGATTACATAATAAACATTAGCTATTAATTTTCATAAGTTTTGCTTTTTAAATAATTTTAAATGATTTAGAAACTACTGAAATATAGTTTTAAGAACAGGATTGCTAGAATGCATTGTTGTTGATAAAGATTTATGAACAATCAAATGGCAATCTGGAAGTTCCTCCCATTCCCTACATGGTAGAATTAGTGGTACAAGCAGAGTGAAGTAGATAGCTGATACGGGACCAGGCACTGGGAAAACAGACGTGCATTATACAGAACAAAGAAGATGTTGTAGAGATGAGAGCATAAGCCAATTTTATTTCTTATTGATCTTTCTAAACCATATCTAAGATCAGTTTGTTTGATCTCTTCTATACTCTTCCAACTAACCCAACAATTAAATATATCTAATATTGTATAGTATAGGAGAGAAAAGGATTCTAATAAGTACATAAAATTATTTTATGAGTTGAGATCTAAATATATAACTATATTATTTTATGCTCCGATGGTACATTAAAGAGCTCTTTCATGTTTATTTTCAGATTTATTTGTTTCCCAGTATCCTCGTCTACTTCTTAACTTCTATTGAGCATAGAGAAACATACCTATGTATAAGAGGTAAGTAATTTAGTTGTGTTGGATTCCTCTCTCCAGGATTTTGAGCTTGCTTATAAAGGCAAATTGAAACATCATTATGACAATTTTGTGTGGCCATTGAAGACAGCCCCAGACTGGTTTTAATGATTTAATTACCACTGCCAGTTTCAGTTTATATAATTTTTAAAAGAGATCCGTAAAAGGATTGGTAAGGAATGTTAGAAAACCACAAACATGGAGAGCTGTAAGCCTGCATTCTTCATCTCTTTGGAGCAAATACTTTTTAGTTCCTGCCAGAGTTACAAAAATGGTCTACCCACAGTGTTGGGGTGTTCCTCTTAAGGGGATGTTTCAGAAAGATTTTGGGTACAAAGTTGCTACTTGGCCATACTTCCTCTTGCTCTTATTTTCAAGGACAATTGTGCTAGCACTTGACAGTTTTGGAGATGTAAGTAGATGGTTGATTAGTCAGGAGCTTTTCAAAGTACAAGGCAAAAATTTAGTTACACAACTCAACTAGGAATTGCCATCCAGGGAAGATATCAAAGACTCATTTTCTTCACCATGACTACCTTGCTTCATTCAGATCTGTAGAAATAAATATTGTGGGATGTGGCTCTGTTTTCTTAATGGCTTTTATGTCACTCATATACTCATTTTACTGAGTCTAAAGATAGAAAAACACATAGAAAATGTCAACAGTATTCATTGCTATATTAAAGTGCTTTTGTGTATGTAGAAACACAGGCTTAAGAGAATAGCAGGTAAGTATTACTTGAGACATTAAAAGTTATATTTAGAAGCACAGGTTGGAGATAAGAAAGTGTGAGTAGAAATAGTGGCCAGAATGCATTATAAATATGTATGAAGCTATCAAAAAATAATTTTAAAAGGTGCAAGGAAAATCAGTAAGAAAGTACTATGAGAACAAAGTAATTAGAGCTATGAAAAGAAAACATCTTTGAACTTTTATATTAATATATAATTATCTCACTTTTCTGTTAAATATTGCAAGTTTATATAGCATGAGCAAATCAGTATTTTTCTTTCATAATATTAAGCGTAGCTACCATTTTGTCACTTGCTTTGGCAAATCTTAGGTTTTAATGAGCACCACAACATTACAGACTGATCTTGTAATCAATTACAGAAATAATTTACATAATAATTTTCCTACTATTGAATTTTGAGGATATCTCCGTTTTTTTATTATATTTTTTCATTGCTTCTTTTTTTAACCAGAGCAAAATTTTTGTAGCATGAAGTTTATTTCCACATTGACTAGTAATTCCACCCATTATAATCTTACCCACAAGTATCACTATCTGATTTAAACTAATTTCATCAGCTCTTATTTGGACAGGTACCTCGAAAGGTCACTGGACTCTCATAGGCATTCTTTACTACTCTGAGACAACAAAAACAATCACTTAATGCTGTGAATTGGATCATACTCAAAAACACTATTTCCAAATTCACAAAGCATAATTTCTTTCCATATTCTTTCCATGATAGCTCTCATCTCATATCCTACAGCATTCTCTTTTTCTTACTGTCACTAGGTTTATCAGTTAAGATTATCCTAAAGTCAGTTAAACTTGTTGCTTTGTCTGCTGATGTTCCTCATACATTTGCATGGCTCAAGTGCTCACTTAGGCTGGCTTTCTGCAACCATGACATCTCACAGAGGTCTTTGCCATTAAAATCAACACCCTCCTTTCATTTGTTCTACAATCCTCAGCCTGCTTTATATTTTATTCACAATAGTATTTTTATCTGACTCTATTTCACAATATTTTATTTACTGATCATCTTTCCTGGTCCCACTGGAGTGAAAGTAGCTTTTAAGAAATGACCTGACAGAGGGCTAATATCCAGAATATATAAAGAAATCAAGAAGTTAAACAGCAACAAATCAAGTACTCCAATTTTAAAAATGGGGTACAGAGCTAAACAGAATTCTCAATAGAGGAATATCGAATGGCAGAGAAACACTTAAAGAAATGTTCAACATCCTTAGTCATCAGGGAAATGCAAATCAAAACAACCCTGAGATTTCACCTTATACCCATCAGAATGGCTAATATCAAAAACTCAAGTGAGAACACATGTTAGAGAGGATGTGAAGAAAGGGGAACCCTCCTCCATTGCTGGTGGGGATGTAAACTTGTACAACCTATTTGGAAATCAATCTGATGTTTTCTCAGGCAATTAGAAATAGCGCTTCCCCAAGATCCACTATACCACTCCTAGGCATATATCCAAAATATGCTCAAGCATACAACAACATTTGCTTAACCATGTTCATAGCAGCTTTATTCATAATAGCCAGAATATGAAACAACCCAAATGTCCCTCAACTGAGGTATAGATACAGAAATTGTGGTACACTTATACAATCCATACTACTCAGCAATTAAAAACAAGGAAATCATGAAATTTGCAGGCAAATGGTGGGAACTAGAAAAGATCATCCTGAGTGATGTATCCCAGAAGCCGAAAGACACACATGGGATATACTCACTTATTACTAGATATTAGACATATAAGATAAAAATACTAAAATTTGTATACCTAAAGAAGCTATGCAAGAAGAAGGACTCTGGGTAAGATGATTAATCCTCTCTCAGAAAGGTGAACAGGGTGGACATCAGAAGAGGGAGAAACACGCAACAGGACAGAAGCCTATCACAGAGGGCCTTTGAAAGACTCTACCCAGCAGGGTATCAAAACAGATGTTGAGACTCATAACCAAACTTTGGGCAGAGTACAGGGAATCTTATGAAAGAAGGGAGAGATGGAAAGACCTGGAGGGGATAGGAACTCCACAAGGAGAGCAAAAGAATAAAAAATCAGGGCACAGGGTTCTTTTCTGAGACTGATATTCCAAACAAGGACCATTCATGGAGATAACCTAGAACCTCTACACAGATGTAGCCCATGGCAGCTCAGTG